AACTCTTAATTTATGTCTAATGATATTGCTAATGATATAAAGCCAATTTCATTCTTTTAAGCTCTTATTACAACAACAACAACAACAACAACAACAACAACAACAACAACAACAACAATAACAATAATAATAATAATAATAATAATAATAATAATAATAATATTAACAATAATAATAATAATAATCAATAAGTAATAAATAATAATAATAATAATAATAAAAATAATAATCAATAAGTAATAAATAATAATAATAATAATCAATAAATAATAATAATAATAATAATAATAATTGAAATAATAATACTAATAATAATAATAATAATAATAATAATAATTGAAATAATAATACTAATAATAATAATCAATAAATAATAATAATAATAATAATAATAATAATAATAATAACAACAACAACAACAACAACAACAACAACAACAACAACAACAACAATAATAATAATAATAATAATAATCAATAAATAATAATAATAATAATAATAATAATAATAATCATCATCATCAATAATTAATAATAATAATAATAATTAATAATAATAATTATTATTATAATAATAATAATAATAATAATAAAAATAATAATAATAATAATAATATTGATACAATTCATTGTTCAAATGGTTCTATTTTTTTGATACACATTTCTAATGTTAATCTCATTGAGAAAATCAGAGTACTACATAACTTAAATGTTTATGTGTTTAAAATGTTTAGAGGTTTCAAGTTTTTAATATATTATACTGAAAGTTTTATAATTATATAGTATATTTTTCGTAAATATTTTAATATGTACATTTGTATATACACATATGTATAGTAATAAATAATCAAATATCACTAATCCGTAATTAAAAATCACTAATTAATAAGTTCAATTCAGTTCAGCTCAGCTTAGTTCAGTTTAGTTTAGTTCAGTTCAGTTGAGTTCAGCCAACCAAAACAGGCCCTAAAACCTACAATTAGGAAAAATTAAAAGTAAATTAGAAATGAGAATAACGTAAAATTTTATTTTATATTTGACGGGAATGTACAATATTATTTGCATTGTCATTTCTTAATCCCTTGGTCATTATGTGAGTCTATATTTGTGTGTATGTTCATTGTCATTTTCGAGATAATGCAAAACAGGTATTATGCGGGGTTTAAAAATAGAAATTTAATTGAAAAAAACATGATGAGTAGTATGTACTAGGGTTGACTAGGTATTTGAGTGAACATATTATAAAATTTATATGAATCATACTAATGTTCAACATATTTGGTTTTTAATATTACCCCTGTTTCTTTTGCTTGCAAGTTGTAACAAGGGTGCATTATTTATGGGATATCAAAAATTTCTTATTAGTTGCAAATAATAAAAAAAAATAGAGTTAGTTTCAAACTTAAATTTTTTGTTGTAAGCAAAACCTACATAAAGTCTTTATTCATAGGAAAAAAATATTTTATCATGATGTTTATTATTAGTTTGCCTTTTTCTCTGGATTGAAACCCACAATTTGGAAAAATTAAAAATAAATTAGAAATGAGAATAAGTTAAAAATTTATTTTATTTTTTAAGGGATCGTAAAATATTACTACAATGATGAATGTTTGTTTGTATATGCAGTATTTACATTGTCATTTCCTAATTTATCCATTGATCATTATTGTGAGTCTTTATTTGTGTTTATATACAACGATGAATGTTTAATTTGTTAATTTTAGTGATTCCGTTATTAATCATTAAGTTAAATTATAAATTAATATGTTGATTGTAAACCGTGCATTGCACGGGAACTATGATAGTTAATTATTATTCATCTAGTGATATGTTGATAATCTCCATGGACCGACCCATCCACTGCAAAGAAGAGAACAACATATTATAGAAATTACAATTTTTTGAAGTGGTATTTATAGTATAATAAAACACAACTACTTACATAATCCGTGTTAATCCTCTCAGGTAGTCTGGTAATCCCATCTGATGACCCACCAAGAGAAAAATGAGGATGAGAAAATCGGTACAGCACTACATGTAACCGGGAGCGACCGTAGGAGCTCCACCACCAAGTGTGGTGAGGGGACCTAAAATAACACTGAAAAAAGAACCAAGGACAAACTGAGTCCACATCACAGATGTCATCTCGGTCGGAAAGTGTACCCGATACATCTTCAAGTTCGTCGGTCTCTTGGCCTTCTCAGGCTTGATAATGGTCCTTGGAATGTCCTGCACGAATCCAAGTTGTTAAACCACTCGATCAGGCATGTATGGCTCAATGATGCTACGGTACTGGATGCAGCCAATAAAAAGAGTGGCTGGCACGCATCGTGCAGGATCAACTCCGTGCGGTAGCCAGTTAACCTCATTGTCAGTCAAGTGATCTAATCTAGCACGAAAAGCGAGGAGGCGCTCCATGCTCTTGTTGGGGCATCCCGATCTAACATCCTAAGCAGACGCACGAGGAATGCTAAGCTCCCTCGTCAAGGTACCTTGCTGAGGCCGGAAGCACGGAAAGTACTCGTAGATCCACGACTGCAGAAGCGTGAGACAATGAATCAGCATCTTTTCGTGATGCTGTACCCAACTGCCGATACAGCTATGCTAGAGCAGCTAAACCCCAAGGGAACTTATTAATCGTAAGATCATCAACAACAAGCTCGTTGAGGAAGGAAGGATGAGTACGGTTACCACTCTTGTCCAAAAACAGACATCTGCCTAGTACTAACCACATGTAGGCACTATAATGGACATTGAAGGGCCTCTGCGCCTCCAAGGTCGAGTCCATAATCCTCTCGGTCAAAACCCCACTACCCTTCCAAATGGTTTTAGTACCACACTTCTTATTCAGCTCTTCCGCAGTCATATCCATGGTAACCGAGCACGCGTCCCGTATGATGTCCGTGTTAGGAGTAGTGGAAATCATGGAACCATCAACACGAAGCCCAAGAATATGGTACACATCGTGCAACATGATCGTGATCTCCCCAAATGGAATATGAAACATGTTCGTATCTAGCTGCCATCTCTCAACAAAAGCAGAAATCAACGGCTAATCAAAACGCCTAAACATGATCCCGGGTAAGTGAGACAGACCACTGCCATCAATTAATTCCATGTGCTCCTGTGAAAGACGACCTCGCCAGTTAACCAATTCAGAACACAACTGTATCCTGCTCAAACAGCGCAAAATATTACGCTCCTGCCCGCCCCATGCATATGCAGCCACGTGACCACCAAAACTAGGGATAGCAGTACCATCCTCAAGACCACCTGGCATCGGCTGCTGCACTACCCATGTCTCTGCTGAGTTGGTAGAAGGCTGACTCGCTTGACTACTACTAACAAATCTCCCATGCTGACCCCTATATACTGTATGATAATTCTGAGGGTCATACTCTTCATCTCGATTAGCATGACTTGTCCGCTCTTCGTCCTCATCGTCAGATGTAGGCACTCCACCCGACGAGTACATGGGGAGGCTCCCTTGTGACTGATGCTCCCCCGACCAAGTACCAAGAGACCCATATTGCTGCTCATGATGAACGGTATCCCCGTATTTACTGAAAAACTTGACTCCCTCCTAACAGACGCATTCAAACGTCTTGATATTGCATGATGAGCACCTGAACCCTCAATCTACATTATATAAGTACAAAATCAAATATCAATAATAATTACAAATATAAATATGATATTGAAATTGAACAACTAATATTCAAATTCAAAAAAAAAAAATTTAAAAAAAAAAACCAAATCATAATTACAACAATAACAATAGTAATAACAATAACAATAATAATAATAATAATAATTATAAACCACAAATTTTGCAACATACTACTAACAATATTACAAAACAACAACAACAACAATAATGGTAATAATACTAATAACAACAACAATTATAATAATAGTAATATTGCTACTAATAATAACAATCCTAATACTAATTACATTACTAATAATAATAATTTTAATCTGTTATTTAAAAAATATTAATCACGAAAAAAAATATATTAAGCAAGAAAAAAAAACATAAAATTAATCACGAGAAAAAAAAATTCAGAATAATTTTATTCAGTTATTTAAAAAATATTAATCACGAAAAAAAAAATATATTAAGCACGAAAAAAAACATAAAATTAATCACGATGAAAAAAAAAATCGGAAATTTGGGAAATTCGGAAATTTCAGGCGGATGTCTTAAAATTTCCAAAACTCCTTATTTTTTTTCCGAATTAACCAATAAATTCCGGAACGTACCTGTTCGCCGCCTCCCATGCCGCCGCCACGACCGCCGTACGTTAACCTGATTCACCGCCGGTCCGCCATTGTCGGATTTCTTCTACCTTCCTTGGATTGGTGGTGGTTGTGGGTGTTTTTCTTTTGAATTTTCTGTTTTTTTTTTTTTTGGATTTTCAGATTTTTTTTTTCCCTAAATTTCTGATTTTTTAATTTTTGAAGAGAATTTAAAATTTTAGAAAGATAAAATTTTAGAGAGAGAAGTATGAGCGTGAAATGTGTTGTAAGTGTCGTGAGTATTTATATACGAGGGGTAAATACGGAATTTCATGAAAAAAATGCGAGAGACCCCTTATAATTTGGGAGCGACATTTAACAACACCCTAACTTTATTGTACATCCGTTTTTTTTAAATGTTTGTCTTATTTGAATTGTCTTAAATTTGTTTGCCCCTTACAAGGGCCACGCCACTATGATGACTCAACACGAGGATCTCGCTGCAGTTTTGTAATTAGGCTTGTTTTTAGGGCCTTTTTCATTTAAATTTTGGGAGTATTATATGCAGTCTTTTAAGTTTCAACTTATCGTTACTTTGTTATATTTTTCTTCTTCAAGATTAGTGCCTTCAACTTCTTCAAGATCAGTGTCTTCAAATTACTTATTTAAATTAAGCACGAAGGCAATCAAATGCCAAGATAATTAACAAAATTATTGCACGACTTAGCACGTTCACGTTGCACGTCCTTTTTAGGCAAGGTATGTATTATGTATGTAAATGTTTTTATTATTTGCCTCCCCACAATAAACTACCTCAAGAATCAAGATGATGTATAATAGACTAAGACTATTCCATTATTACAAGAGGTTGGGAGTGTCAAGGATAGTACCTATTACAATTAATAACAAGTAAATATATAAAACACCAAATCAAATTAAGACACACACATTAGTCCATTACATTATTGAAAATTAAGTGGCTCATCTTTGTGTCCCGATCAACACACAATGAAACAATGTGATAATCATGCACATCTAGAAAATTTTAGTGAATAATCTTCACTATACTGATAGGCCTTTCTCCTGAAGGAATAGATTGTGTGTAAACTTGGCCATAATCCTTGAGCCTTTTGTATAACTGCGGCCTCTCTTCACTGATTAGTTCATCTAGTGGTCCAATCTCTCTGTCTGCACTCGGGATGAAAAGCATTGCTAAGGAGATCCGATCATATTTAGGGTTTACCACCGCCTTGTGGGTTGGACTTTTAAAGATGCCGTTACTTGTTATCTGCAAAAAAATATAAATATTTGATAATAGCTAGTCAAATGCCACGTTGTGTGTTTTGGAAAACGTAAAAATTTAATGTTTCAATTGATCACAAAGCCAAATGGGGAGATTATAAACGAAAGTAGGTCATCTTACGTAGTTACAATTTAAATGCAATCAACAAGAGGCACTTGATGAAGTTGTTTTATAGTCCTTACCTCCATCTGATCACCAACAAGGATGGTGATGGCTTGAGGGATGACGGGAACACGAAACCATCGATCATCTTTGACAACTTGAAGACCTTCAACCTCGTTATCTTGCAAGAGCATGGTAATGGCAGTTCCATCTCCATGAGGTTTAAGTCCAACAACTTGATCCGACATCGGGCATCGAGGGTAAAAGTTGAACCTTGCAAATGTCATATCTTCGTTTTCATCTCCCCATAATGCAAGAAAACGGTCTTCTTCTAAATCCAAGGAACGTGCCATAGCTTTTATGAACGTCCCGAGTATCATTCGGTTCATCTTTGAATAATCATGCAATGTTGTCCTGTGATCATTTATTATTTGATTAATTTTCAATGTAATTAATTGTTAGTTGTTTCATATCATTAGTACAATCAAACATGCATATAAGCAATTTGATTAAAGATTAGAGTAAGATAAAAAGTAATTTAGTTATCAAAATTCTTACAATAGCCTCTAGTATAGCTTGAAAAATGACAATCAAAAGGTTTGATACATGAAGCTTTATGATTGGTTATATTTTCCACATAAGCATTTCTTTAGCTTCTTATCCTCAATATTTATCCTCAATCGGTGTAATTAATGTTAATTTATCCTCAATATTTCCTTTTTTATCTTCTTAGCTCTAGGGTTATGTTTAGTATTTTCCTTTTTTTAATGTTCAAAATATTTAAAATTCATTTATCTTATGTTTTAAAGTCTCAATTTAATTAAAAGATTAGCAACAAACTAAAAATTGTGGGTTCATGTAAAATTACCTAAACTTTTCGGGATTTTTAGGCCAAAATTGAAGTTGGCGCTTGTCCTCGGGATAAACTTGGAGATGAAGCTTGTCATTCCAATTGAGACTTCCACGTTGAACAGCATTTGTATTTCCATAACCTTCCAAGTCTTCTTCCTTTGAGGAGTACTTTTCCTTTTCTTCAAGAGGCAGTTTGAAGAATTGTTTGCTCATTTCTCGTACCTCGTCTAGTATTGAAAGTGGTATACCATGATTCACTAGCTATAACTCACAAAATTAAACACAAGTTAGAAACTTAAATTTCATTTAATATATTGTTCCACATATATAGATAGTGAGCTTATTGATATTAGTCATTCTACTTTCTAATGCAGGGAACCTAAATCTACGTTAATCATATTACGAAGTACTTCTTAAATCTTAATACAAAATTGTGTATAACTATTTTTTTTTTCTAAAAATCATCAACTACATTATGTTTCCTTTATGGTACGTACAGTGGCGGATCCAGGATTTCCGAGATAGTGTGTCACCATCAATTATTGATCATTTGTGAAAAGTACAATTTTTTTTTTCCATGTCTTGTTCATAATTAATTTCAATCCAAAACTTATATGTATAAAATATATATATATGTATATATACATACATATACCAAATTGATTTCAATCCAAAAATAGGACACAAAAATTCATATCACAACCAAATACAGTACTTAAGAATTCAATTTTACAAGTCGAAAATACTACAAATAACATGTTATAAACCAATGGTACAATAAAATTATTATATTGAATTAACTTTATGATTTTTTAGTTAATTGATAAGCTTTATGGGGAAATATTAAAATTGGTTGTACAAATATAAGATATAAAAAGGGAAAAAAAATTATTAAAAAATTATACAAAAAAAAGTGAGATAACTTAAAAGACCAGTTATTAAATATAACTGGTCTCTTTAATGAAAAAGAAAGTAACGCAAAAAAAATTGTGAAATGCAATAGCAGCATCAAAGGGACCTCTTATACAAATAACAGGTCTCTTTAATATATAAAAAAAAACACACCAAGTCTTTTGTAGCAATAGCAGCATTAAAGAGATCTCCTATCTTAATAAGCGGTCTCTTTGATATTGTTTGTTGTTACTAGCAGCATCAAAGAGACCTCCTATCTATAATAAGTGGTCTCTTTGATATTTTATTTTTTTAAAAAAATACTGTGTCACCGGACCCACTATGACTAAAGGTGGGTCCGCCCCTGGGTACGTATTATAAAGTGGCTATTACGTTGACATCGTTAATGAAAACATCTAGTATCATAAATACCGTATATGCTTAATGAATTATTGATGAGCTAAAACTAAAATGTGCAAGTGTTCAAGTATATATAAACGGCAGGCCAATTATTAATTAGGGTACGTATATAAATGGCAAACCTGAACACAGCCCCATGAACTGAGAGCGGAGCAAAGCTTTGCAAGCTCATCAGGAGACGACGATGAGAGGAGAGAAAAATCAATCGTCGGAGCATCCATCAACGGAGGAGAGCCATTACCAACTTGGTAGTCATCTTCGGGCTGTATGTAGCCTTTAGGCACCACGCCGCTTTGGAGTATCTCTTGCACAGGCATAAGAGTAGGAGCCATTTTATGTTAAAATTGGAACAAAAAGTTTACGCAAATGAATTTTATTTATAGGACTATGATTTAGAAAGCTAAGGCTGTGATATACAAATGGGATGTTAGGGATGTAAGAGGCTCAGTTTATATAATATGGCTGATTATATACTGTAGCAATTAAAGTGGAAAAACTAAGATTAGGTAGTATGAATTCTATGATCATTAAAATTCCATTTGATGACTAATTATATATTAATTATATGATGGGTTAGCTACAAATGACTGTCATCTATGTTATGCAAAAGTAACTACTGTAGTTTATATTGCCCTTGGGAAGCTAAGTTGTCATTTATTTTATTTTTTTGCATATTTTTGTATTTTTTAGGACAAATAATGTATAGCCATAATTCATATTTTTCCCTTATCATCCAGGCCTATCAGTTCTAAGGACAATCATGCATATAGATTGTTTATAAGGAGAATGTCAAAGTTAACAACTTATCTTAAGAATTTCTCAAACTATTAGCATACGCACCCTTGCTATTGAACATGTATATAATGTACGTAGAAAGACAACCTTGATAGTTAATGGGGTAAGCTAGTAGAGTAGATATTTCAATTCTACGCCAGTGATGTGTGCATCTAGTGTTATTTAATTTCTATCATCTCGTTACTCAATTAAGTTAAAATATTGTACCTATATAATTCTACACCAGTGAATAGTGATATATATGGTGTCATTTCTATCTTCTCGTTACTCAATTAAGTTAAACATGTATTGTATAATTTTCGTATGAGTTGAGACATCCTAATCCAATATGGATACTATTACTATTCTATGAAATGTTGTGTTTATTGTACATCTAAAATAGTACGTGCTTCATATCTCATCAATTTCGATCCAAACATAGGGAGTACAAGTGTACAGCACTACTACAGCTTTAATTTATCATACGTTAATACGTAATTAGGCCATCTATCACTTCCATGTTTTAGTGTTCATAAATAAATACTTGTATATTGTTGCAATGCCAACAAGAAGAAAAAATGTACGTCGAAACATCTAGATGATCTAAATCATCAAATGACATTAAGAGTATGTTTTGGTAGATCGGAGAAGAATTCAACTCATATAGTTTTCAGGAGGAGAAAATCAAAAGGCTAGTATATATTTGCGTTAGTAAAAAGTGAAAATTGTATCTTCTGGTATACTTGCTACTTTAATATTTCTTATTAGCTTAATTTCAATTCAAACTTAATTGTGCTATGGCTTTTTTTTCCCTTTTTTTGAAGCCTTTTTGTGCTATGACTTTAACCCCTTTATTAATCTAAAACGAGTTTCATTCCAAAAACTTATACTTCCCTTAACCTTTATTAAACTTTTATATTATTTTGACATAAAGTAAATTGAAAATGTCAATGATTAATGTATCCTCGTGACATTGACTTGAATAACATATTTTTCAAGAAAGATTTCTTCAGTCACCAACTCAGCATGACGTAGCGCTTTCGATAAGTAAGGATTTAATGAGCGTAAAAAGGTCGTATTTAGTGTGCTAATTGCTAAACTGTTTTTTTTTTTTTTTTTTTTTTTTTTTTTTTTTTTGAGGAAAGCTAAACTGAATAGTTTGTCATTATTGTCAACTCCTTAAACCTCATGCATGAGTAAATACTTCTTAAATTGGCAATATCTTCTAGCCATAAATTGTAGAATTACTCATTCCATGATTTTCCAGCCTCCGCAAAACTGAACCTAATTTGTTTGACTAACAATTTTTTTGAACTTCCGTTTCATTCATGATACTATATTTCTATGGAATTATTATGGAACGAACTTAAATAGACAATTTTTTTATTTTTTTACTTCTGTTTCATAATAATTGCAATAATTTTTTTATTTGCTAAGAATACACTATTATTTTATTATTTTTCTCTCTTACAAATTTCACTTACAATATTATTGTACAATTTCTCTCTCTAACTAACATTGAAATATATATCCGCTAGCTAAACTTTATATTATAAAATTCTCCTTATAGTTCAATTCATACCCTATAATTTTTCTAAAACTTTACTCTTTGTACACTATTATAGGCATGGACTTGTTGGATGAATTAACACGTACTTCATTATTTTTAATCTCAACATTTAAAATTAAATTTTTTATTTTTTTTAAGACTGAAATTTTAAATTTTGAATTTTAATTTATTCACACATGTATACGCCTTTAATTGTCTTTTATATGATTTACACTTTAGAAAAGATATAAGAAAAGCTATTGTGTGCAGATGTCCGCACGCAAATTTCAGTGCGGCTGACTTGGCTGATATGCTTTACTTGTTGGCTAATATGTTTCATGTGTTGGCTGATATGTTTTTTTGTTGGCTGATATGTTTTTTTGTTGGCTAATATATTCTTTTGTTGGCTGATATTTTTTATTTGTTTCTCCTTTTGTTGGCTGATATCAGACATCATTTGGCTTATATGTTTCTTTAGTTGGCTGATATCTATATTTTAATTGTTGGCTTACATGTTTCATTTTGTTGGCTTACCTTTTGCTTTTGTTTGCTGATTTCATCCTTTTGTTGGCTGATATGCTCCATTTGTTAGCTGATATGTTCCTTCTGTTGGCTGATATGTATCTTATGTTGGATGATATGTTACTCTTGTTGGCTGATATGTATCTTTTGTTGGCTGATACGTTTTTGTTAATGGCAGATATGTCCCTAATGTTGGCTAATATCAAACATCAATTGGCTGATATGAGTTATTTGTTGGCTAATATGATACTACTATATTTATTTCTTTCTCTCTCCTCTTTTTTCCATTCTCTTTGTTTCTCACGCCACCACCCAAGACCCAACAAACGGCGACCCTAACCTCATGCCACACCCAGCCAGCCACCACCCTAACCTCACGCCGCTACCCAACTAACCACCACCCTAACCTACTGTTGCCCCTGCTACGAGCCACCACCCCTCCCCTGCTGTTGCCCGTAGGTCACCACCCCTCCCTTGCTACGAGCCACCACCCCTCCCATGCTGCTGCCTTAGTTATTAGGATTGATTTTAATCTTCTAGAAATATCTAGAAGGTTTTTTTTTTTTAATTCTAATGAGATTAGGATTGGTAATTATATTTTAAAGATGTTTTATTTTGAATAAATATGTGATTTGTTACATATATGATTTTAATCTGCGTAACGTGGAATTAGTTGTTTAATAGTATTAAGAAGATGATTTTGTGTACAATACGCGTTTTAATTTTGACTTAGTGCGAGACGACAAAGTTGTCGCCTGGCGCTGGCGCTGCTCTTGTTGTCTGGCGCTAACTCCTGTCATTGGCGGCAGGAGGTATTTTATTTCGAATATGACTTGATTTGATTCCGAGCTATTTTTTCTATAAATAGGGGTCGTATCTACCCGTTTTTCATCGTTCACAGCCATCATCTCTCTCTTTCTCTCTCTAAAATCTAGAAGCTTATTCTTTCTCTCTATTCTTTTTCTAAACCTTCCCTCTCATAAAATTCCTCATACATTAGTTCTAGACACACATAGCCAAATTCGAAGTTGCCTTCGCCTTAGACGTGAAAGGTTTAATATTTCTCAGGGTTTGGTCACAAATCTCTATTTTATTTAATTTAATTGTTTGATTTATTATTTTCCTAGAAGTTACTAACGTGTGTATTTTGTTATTAGAAAGAGGTACGAGGCATCAAAGTAAGTAGTTTAATTTCTTTATTGATCTTTTGATATATGAATCATGCTTAGATTATTATATTAATTCCTAGTATCATGTTAGGATGTTTTATTGCTTCCTAGTATCATGTTTAGTATTAACTAATATTTCTGATATTATGATGCTTCCTACTTCTTTCCTAATATCATGTTAGTAGCATGTTAGGGCAAAAGCTTTGATTTTTATTGTTTAGTGATATGCTAGGGTTTGTTATTAATCTTGTTAGTATCATGCCTAGGATCTTGCTAATATTATTATGCTTTGAGAATATTATTATGATTAAGATGATTATTATTATGTTTCTTGATGTATATTATTATTGTTATTGCTTGATCACGCCTTTTATGCATATTTAAAGGGAATTTGTACTTGTAATCACGCTTATTAAGATAATTAATAATCTTGTTTAGACTAATATGATTATAATTCAAGTGATCGCCAATAATAGATTTGTTTGTGCATTAATATTTAACCAACATAGATTAAACAGGTTTAGAGTTAATCTATTGATTGCATGTTAGTCAGAAAGCACACATGAATACGAGAAGAATAAAGTAGAGGCCTATTATTAGGGCAAGTTCAATCTCTTTTAGGTTGGATTTGTACCTTTATCCCCGAACTTCCAGTCATGGTTCCAGACCTATTGGAGCTAACGATCTCTTGGATCTTTAAGGGGTGTAACCTTCACCTTGTGAACGGTTTACAAGTTCCTAAAACTTGTTGGCGACTCTTTTACTCTAGCTTCCTTCCCTTTAGACACCACCATCCTTAAGTGTATGATCACAGTGGGGCTCAAGTGTGGGATGCTTGAAATATTCCCTACACTTATATACTTAGCTTTGTTAATTGTGTGTTTGTTGGCCTTGTCTTTACCTTGACCCTATGATGACCCATTTTTAATGGAGAGTAGTGGAAACAAGTAAAGAGAAGCTTTTCATGTGATGAAGCATATTCATGATGGGCATGAGTGAAGAGCGAATCATGCTAGTTTCCATAAGTTTATGATGTGTTATTACTTTAATCATATTATGGTATTTCTGTTGCGAGACTAACGTAAAGGTTTTTAAATTGATTTGGTTTTGGTTAAGGGCCTACAATGGTTCCAAATTGTAGATTTGACTTTATTTTTCTTTGGTTTGACTTTACTTTCGTGAGTTGACTTTTAAGTTGAGTCGTTTTAAATATTTTAAAGGAGAGTCTTGCCCTGTGTGTTTTTGATAGTTGCCTTAGCCGTTTTCACGGTGCCAGTAATATCTTAGATTTTCCTATTTAAAGTTTTAAACAAGGTGTAGGGAATATTTCAAGCATCCCACACTTGAGCCCCACTGTGATCATACACTTAAACATGGTGGCGTCCAAAGAAAAGGAAGTTAGAGTAAAAGAGTCGCTAATAGGTTTTAGGAACTTGTAAACCGTTCACATGGTGAAGGTTACACCCCTTCACGATCCATAAGATCGCTAACTCCATAGTGGTCCGGAACCATGACCGAATATTCGGGGATGAAAGTACAAATCTAACCTAAAAGAAATTGAACCTGCCCTAAAAATAGGCCTCTACTTTATACTTCTCATATTCATGTGCGCTTTCTGACTAACATACAATCATTATATTAATCCTAAACCGGTTTAATCTATGTTGGTTGAATATTAATGCACAAACAAAACTATTATTGGTGATCACTTGAATTATAATCAAATTAGCCTAAACAAGATTATTAATTATCTTATTAGGCGTGATTACAATTAAATACAATTCGCTACTACAAAAATGGCCAAAGAGACCTAAGATAAGAGACCGTTTGATTAAATAACCGGTCTCTCTGTTTCAAGAGACCCAATATTACAAATAACGGGTCTCTCTTATACTATTTTAAAAAATTGATATTTAATAAAGACTCTTTATCAAAGATAACCGGTCTTTCTTGATTTTTTTATTTGTAATTTAAATATGGAGAGACCCGTGTTCT